GCTTGTGTGCGTGTGTCGAGGCCTTCGCCGCCTGCACGGTGCGCGGGGCGGGGCTCGGGGGAGAGCAGGGACCCGACCCCGCAGAGCCGCAGAGCCGAGGGAGAGGAAGCCCCGAGAAGAACCTTGTCCCGGGAAGGGTCAGCAGAAATTTAGGAAAAGAAAAGCGAGACAGATAGAGGGAGAGACAGAAAGACAGAGAGAGGCAGGGAGAGGCGGGGAGATGGGAGAGAGAGACAGGGAGAGATACAGACAGAGACAGAGACAGGGAGAGACAGAGGGAGACAGGGAGAGATGGAGAGACAGAGGGAGACAGGGAGAGACAGAGACAGAGACAGACAGAGACGGATCCTCAGGCTCAGGATGGGGTGAGGAAGGCCCTGCCTGGAGAGACAGAGGGAGACAGGGAGAGATGGAGAGACAGAGGGAGACAGGGAGAGACAGAGACAGACAGAGACGGATCCTCAGGCTCAGGATGGGGTGAGGAAGGCCCTGCCTGCAGTTGCTGTAGACCTGAGAGCTCCACAAACTTGAAGGCATCCCAGAGCCTTCAGGGACAGAAGCTGTCTTCCCCCGGGGGAGAGAGTGCTGCCGGTGACCCTCTGGGACATGCTCCATGGGCCGTGCACCCCCAAAACGAATGGGAATCCACACAAGAGAACAAAATCAAGCAGTAACAGAGCTAGTCTGAATAGTTCATCATATAGACAAGGGAACCATCTGAGGCTGAAGTTCATGTCCTTTTGGAGGGGTGTGTAGATACCGGTCACCTTTTTTCAGAGCGTTTTTACACTTAAGTTTCATTTATGTGCTTCGTAAACAGGTGAAACCTTTAGGAGGTTCAGAGTTCAAAAGTGCAGCTGCGCCTCACCCCTGTCTCTAGCCCCCTGCCCGGGCTTGTGGCTCCTGCCTCCTACGTGTGCCTGTCGGTGGAGCAGACCTGCTCTTTCTTTTTCCCCTTTCTTGAATAGATGGCACATGCTGTTCCCAGTTTTGCTTCTTGCAGTTTTCCCTTGACTCTGTGGGAGATTTTCCTACGCAGGTGGTGACCGTGTGCAGCCATGAGTGTCCCATGGACGCTGAAGTGTGGGCTCAGTGTTGTTTTTATTTTTTTTCACTAAGTTATATGCTGAATATTTTTTGTCCCTTTTCTCTTAGGTTTCTCTGAGGCCTTTTTCTTACTGCCTTTTCTTTTCTTACAAAGGTGGGTCTGGCTGCTTCACAGGACTTTTTCAGGTTCTAGGGGAGTCAGGCCCTTTTCTGGGTGTGGTTCCCCCCCCACCCCGCTCCAGTTTGTTGTTTGTGTTTGGAGTTTGCTTATGGTGGCTTCTGAAAATGAGAACTTTTTATTTTTATGCCATTGAATGCATCAGTCTTCCATTCTATCTTCTCTGGGTCTTGTGTCATAGATTAAATGGCCTCCCCAGGCCAAGGTTACATTTCTGGACGTCTATACTCTGATGAAGTTGAGACATGGAGAGGCATTTAGAGGTAAACATCAGTTTAAATATAACTATTAAAAAGTTAGGGACAACTCTAAATGTAGGAATTATAAGAAGTAACTTGAATGATTAGAAAACAACCAGAGGGGAAAGTAGTAAGTGAAATGTCCTGCCTCCGCATGGAATCTACAGCAGAGACAGCTCGCGAGGGGACGGGCAGCCACAGGTGGTCAGGACAGCTGGCTGCCATGGAGATGCAGGGTGGTGTCAGCTCATCAATTGCCATTGGTAGGACGGTGGACAGAATCCTGCTGCACTCAGGGCCCAGGGTCATTTGCTGTCACCCGTGGCTGATGGAGGGGGTCCGTTGATAATGACGTTTTGGGTGGAAATTTGGTTGAATTTAGCAAAATGGTGAACATCCCCCCCAGCTATCCCCCTACACCCGTCCTGCAGGTGGGCCTGTGGGTGTGGGTCTGGGCTCAGCCATGCTCACCTGATAGGGGTACCCCAGGAGACGAGCTCCTTCGTGGGAAGGCAGAAACCACACATGTCCACTTGGGAAAAAGGCTGTGCCTGTGGCTGGGGCAGGGATGTGGATGGAGGTGCTTTGAGAGGGGACCACAGGGGCTGTAATGCTTTGCTCTCTGTCATCTGCACAGTCTGAGCGTCTTGGCCTAGACTTGGGGTGGCACGGCAGCTTGTGTGATTTTACAAGCGATGTTGGCCCTGGAGGAAGCCGGTGCTGTGGGAGGGGTGCCAGGCCCAGAGCCGCTCCTGCTCCTCCTACAGGCTGTGAGGATTCAGGTGACCTGCTGGGCCCTTGGTCTCCTTATCTGGAAACAAGGGCTCCTGAAGGCACTGCCCGCCCTTCCTCTCCACACCCCCACTAGGGTCTCTGACCCCCTGGTGTGTCCTCCCCACTGGGGCCTGAGGCCAAAACTAAACCACAGGCCGACAGAAGCACTTCTCCCAGAAGCGCACGTTTGCCCCCTGCCTGCAGTGCCAGTGACACAGCCCCGAGTGGAAACGCTGACCTGGCCCTGCCCCCCTGCCCCTTGCCCGCCCACAGTCCCATGTGGCCTGGGACATACTCCTTGCTCCCGGTCACTCTTGCGTGCTCTGGGGACCCAGCCGTTCCTGCCTCATGGTCACTCACTGCGTGTGTTTTTCTGGTAGGAAGGGATGAAGCTGCCCAAGAACACAGCTGAGGAGAGGGACAGGTGAGTGCAGGTGCCGGAGGTGGGGGGCCCCAGACGCTCAGGGCAGGACCTGCCCCTGAGACACGCTTAATGACTCGAGAATGAGGTTCCTACCGCCCCTATCCCCGCCACCCGCTGGGGTTCTTTGTGCTCAGTCCTGCTGGGGCAGGCCAGTGGCTCTTTGCCCAGATGCTGCCCCTCTGCCCCAGGCTCTGATCATTGTCCCTTGCTGGTTCCAGGCGTGCGGCTGCCCTGCAGGACGGGCTGAGGCGGGCGGTCGAGGTGCCCCTGTCGCTGGTGGAGACGGTGTCCTCACTGTGGCCGCTGCTGCAGGAGCTGGCCCTGTGTGGAAACCTGGCCTGTCTGTCGGACCTGCAGGTATGTGGCCCTAGGGACCCCAGGCCTCCTGCTGCAGGGCAGCAAGCAGCAGAGGCTTGGCTGGACCAGGCCCGGAGACCCCTCCTCATGGGCACCTGTGGGGTCTTGGTCTTCTCCAGCAGGGCTGGCTTGTTTGGTCTGTTCTGAGATCTTGTTCAAGGTGGCACCGCAGACAGGCAGAACCTCAGCTCTGTCTCCAGAGCCCTCCCCCTTCCCTGCCCTGTCCGTCCTTCTCATCCCACTCGCTTAGTCTAGAACACACCTAAGCAGCCTGTGGAAATAGACACATGTCTCAGAGCGCTATGCCTGGGCATGGAAGGCCCAGAACCAGGAAGGTCAGATAGGACAGGACGCAGCCCAAGTCCTGTGCCTCCTGCAGCTGCTGAGACTGCATGGTTCACGGGATCTTTACAAGAAAGGCACCTGTTTTCAGCATCTGATCAATCCTGAGAAGTGTCCCTGCTGTCCCTAGAAAGTGGCCCTGGATGGTGGGCCAGCTGTTAATCTGAAGACCGAGAGCTGCCAGGGGCAGCGGCTCAGAGGGCACAACTTTGCCTCTAGCACAGTGGTCTGGGCTCCTGATTTGTCAGAAAAGGGCCAGCGTGGCCTCTCCCAGGACTCATAGGCCGCTGAGTCCTGCTCAGATAAGAGGAGGTTTTGTCTTCTGAGCTCAATGTGGAAAAAATCAGAAATTGTGCTGAGTTTGTTATCCTGGGAGCTCAATCTCTCTGTGGGGTGAGGGCATGGGCCTCGTTGGACCCTCAGATGGAGACCCCTGGGTCGGGTCATTTGCTCAGTCCTGACTGATGAGGCGTGGGGATTCCAGAGTGAAGGGGCTTGTCCAGGCCTCTGTCTAGGCCCTGCTGTCTGCCTGCAAATCAGCCCGTCCTGACATCTTTGCAGGTGGCAGCCAAAGCCTTGGAGATGGGCGTGTTTGGTGCATATTTCACCGTGATCATCAATCTGAAGGACATGACGGACGACGTGTTTAAGGATCAGGTGAGCTGGGGCCTGGATGTGCTCGGGGCCTAGACTCACGGCCCGCAGGACCCCAAGGGACACAGGGGCTGCCTGCGTCCAGCTGTGGGCAGGGTTGGTCTGTCCTGTCCGTCTGATTCTCTCAGAGGTGTCTATGGGGGCAGGGTGGTCCGGGTGCCTGCCGACGCCACCTTTAATGTTCCCCTCCTCATGGGGCTGTGGCTGGCCCTTGGCTGGTCCTGCCGGGGGGGACTGGGGAGCCACAGGTATCAGGGCCCTTCCTGCACCCTTGATGGAGCCGTGGCCCAGCCGCACTGCCAGCCCCACACTTCCCACCTGCTCTCTGGAGGCCTCTGGGGCTGGGGTCCCCCAGGCCAGCAGCCCATCCGCTGGGTCCCAGCAACACAGGGGACCACCTAAGAAAGTATCTGAGTTTCAGCACTCAGGGCAGCTACATGACAATTTCGTTTACTATTATTGAGGTGAAATTCACAGGCAGAGAGTTTAGTGTTTTGAAGTGCACAGTCCAGTGGCATTGAGCACGCTCACCATGCCGTGCAGCCACCTCCGTCCAGTTCTAGAACATTCTCGCCACTCTGAAGGGAACCCCGTCTGTTGGCAGACACCCCACCCCTAGCCCCAGCCCCAATCTGCGTCTGTCTTTCTGTGAGAATCTTGGAGAAGCTGTTTCTCAGCTGGTTCTGTTTTTATGTGGTTGGTGGCACTGTGGCCTCTTCAGGGGCCTGTCCCCATCTAAGCTGGCCATTTGAAGGAAGTCACTTGTCCACCACGTGGGCAGCAAGTTCAGGGGCGGGCCGCATGAGTGCCGCCCCCTGGCCTTGGGGACACAGCTCTGCCCTCAGCAGTTGAGGAGACGTAGGAAAACCAGGGGGTGGGGGCAGCTCGGGATCTGCGGAGGGTCAGTGAGCCCGGCTGTCCCCGAAGCTCAGGATAGAGGGGCCCACTCCCTTCCACACTGAGAGATCCTGAGGGGTCCCTGGGTCAGGGGCACAGGGAAGCCTAGGGTGGCCCCAGCCATCCTGGAGTGGACAAGCCAGGGGGATGGCAAGGGAGGTGACATGGTGCTTGGGCCAGCAGGGGCAGGTGGCAGGTGCAGGTGGTGCCTGTCAGGGGTAGCACAGTGACCAGCTGCCTGCCTGTGGCAGCAGGGGCCGGAGGTTGCTGCCTGGTAGGCAGGGTGGTGACCAGGTCCCTCCTCTCCCTATCTGTCTGTCAGACACGCCAGCACATCTCCAGCCTCCTGCAGGAAGCCAAGACCCAGGCCGCGCTGGTGCTGGACCGCCTGGAGGCCCGGCGGGAGTGACGGCTGGCGGAAGACCTTGCTGGACTCTGTGGCCCCCAACCACCTCTCGCCCATCCTATGGGGTCTGGGCCTTGCTGCAGGGTGTGGGTGTTAGGACCAGGTGGCCTCCTGACACAGCTTGTGCACATGGGGCCCAGAGAGTGAAGATGGAGGCTGCCCAACAGGGGTGGGGTCACAGGGCGGGCTTGTCTGGGGGTGGAGGTGCTGGGGGAGACAGGCCTCACCTGCAGCCACTTGGTTCAAGTCTCCCTCGGTCACCTGCTGCCTCACACCAAGCCTGTGTAGTGTGTTTGGGGTTTTGGGGGCAGGGCTGAGGGCTGAGCCTGGGGTCACGGGGCAGGGACAGGGACCCCTGTGGTCAGGGAGCTGTGGGAGCTGGGGTGGAGGAAACGGGGTCCTAGTGTGTGGGGACGTGCCCAGCTCCAGCCCCCACAGACACGTGGGCGCAGCACCTCACAGGTGGCTCAGAGCACCCTGGGGATTGGTGCAGGGTGCTGAGGTGATGGGGCCCTTAGTCCACGTGAAGGGGGCTTTGGGTTGCACGTGGGACAGAAACCCTACAGGGAGAGCAGAACTTTCAGTGCCAGAAGGAGCCCCTGGCACCATGGGGAAGCTCCTGGGTGAGGCCCAAACAGTCTCGTCAGCCCTGGGCTGTCCAGGCCTGAGCACCAGTTGACCCTCCGGCTCCATCACGGGGTCCCCCCACCTCAGCTACCCCCATGGTGGCTCCTGCCTTCAGGGAAGTTCTCCATTAAAAAATAATTTAAAAAATCACTATACTCCCAAATTACTTCCAGATGGGTGATCACATGTAAAAAAGTATGCATGTACTTATTAGACAGCAATATAGGACGTTAGAAGAAAATAATTGGGTGAGTATGTCCCTCTTAAGCAAGGCAGAAAACCCAAATGCCTTATAGGAAAGATTTTACTTCCAGAAAATTTAAAACACTTGTTTCTGGAGAAGAACATCACCACCCCAGGTAAAAGACGAGAATCCTAGTGGAAGCGAAAGATGCCCAACGCCAGCAGCAGGCCAAGGGCAGCCATCCGTCAGTGTGAACAGCTCCTGCAAGTCAACTGGACAGGGCAAGGTTCCCAAGAGAGGCCGGCCCAGCTCACAGGGGTGCGGGTGGGCATGAGCCATCTGTGTGTGAAAACACCCGGCACCCCGGAGTCCACAGGGGCAGCACCTGGTGGCCACAAGCAAGGAGAGGCCTGTTACAAGGAGGGGCGAGGGGACCTGCAGCAACAGAAGCAAGTTACAAAACCACATGTGGATGGTTTCTTGTTAGTAGGCATAGCGCCTGTGTGTCTGTGCATGCCTGCACTCGTGTGTGTGCACGACGCTTGTGTGCGTGTGTGGTGTGTGTGTGTGCCGGCAATCGTGTGTGTGCACGACGCTTGTGTGCATGTGTGGTGTGTGTGTGTGCCTGCATTCGTGTGTGTGCACGACGCTTGTGTGCGTGTGTCTGTGTGCACACCTGCACTCGTGTGTGTGCACGACGCTTGTGTGCATGTGTGTCTGTGTGCACGCCTGCATTCGTGTGTGTGCACGACGCTTGTGTGCGTGTGTGTCTGTGTGCACGCCTGCACTCGTGTGTGTGCACGACGCTTGTGTGCGTGTGTGTCTGTGTGCACGCCTGCATTCGTGTGTGTGCACGACGCTTGTGTGCGTGTGTGTCTGTGTGCACGCCTGCACTCATGTGTGTGCACGACGCTTGTGTGCGTGTGTGGTGTGTGTGTGCCTGCAGTCGTGTGTGTGCACGACGCTTGTGTGCGTGTGTGTCTGTGTGCACGCCTGCACTCGTGTGTGTGCACAATGCTTGTGTGCATGTGTGGTGTGTGTGTGCCTGCACTCGTGTGTGTGCATGACGCTTGTGTGCGTGTGTGTCTGTGTGCACGCCTGCATTCGTGTGTGTGCACGACGCTTGTGTGCGTGTGTGTGTGCACGCCTGCACTCGTGTGTGTGCACGACGCTTGTGTGCATGTGTGGTGTGTGTGTGCCTGCACTCGTGTGTGTGCACGACGCTTGTGTGCATGTGTGGTGTGTGTGTGCCTGCACTCGTGT